TGCCGCCCACACTAGTCATTTAAAAAGCCTGTCTGAAGAGAAAGGTCTTTGCCTGCTTGTGGAAAGACAAGATGGGGGCCAGCCTGGCCTCCTGTGGGAGGGAGTTCCAGAGTCTGGGAGCAGCAACAGAGAAGGCCCTCTCCTGGGTCCCCACCAAGCGTGAAAATAGTGGGACTTAGAGAAAGGCCTCCCCTGATTACCTTAACACTCAAGGAGACTCACAGAGGGAGATAGCTTGGATGCAAGCCATCTAGGACTTTATAGGTGAAAAACAGCACTTTGAATTGAGCCCTGAAACAGATGGGCAGCCAGTGGAGTTGTGGTAACAGGGGAGTTTATTTGTTTCCTGTAACCAGCCCCAGTTAACAATCTGGCTGCAACGTTTTGGACCCTTTGGAGTTTCCAAACACTTTCCAAAGGCAGCCCCTCGTAGAGCGTGTTATAGCAATTCAGCCAAGATGTCATTAGGGCATGTGTCACTGTGGCCAGATCAGACCTCTCAGGAAACGGATGTAGCTGGCATGCTAGTTTTAATTGTGCAAAGGCACTCTTGGTCAATGCTGAAACCTGGGCATCCAGGCTCAGAGATGAATCCAGGGGCACCCACAAACTGCACACCAATGTTTTCAGAAGGAGTGTAACCCCATCCACTACATGCTGCATCCCTCTTCCTTGATCTGCCTTTCGACTGACCAGGAGCACCTCTGTCTTGTCTGGATTAAGTTTCAGTTTATTCACCCTCATCCAGTCCATGACTGACACCAGATGAGGGTGAATACAAGGAAAGCAGGTGTTTTCAGACTTGCCATATGTCACAGTTATCACTGAGAAGCACTAAAGGTCTATGGGAATCCAGGGCTGGCCCTGTCATTAGACAGCAGGAGGCATTTGCCTCAGACAGAAATGTTGAAAGCCATGGTGGCCGTCTCTCAGCCATTTCTTCTGAGCCTTCCAGAAGGCTCCCCCCCCCTTTTTTTTGGCACTACAGAGCTGTGTATGGCAAACAGCCTGTCCTACATCCCTAAACTAGCTTGCTGCCTTCAAGTCTGGTGGAGCTAACCGTCCTATCACTGTTGCTGAATTAAAATCCACGTGCTTGTCCATGTCTCTTTTGCACATCCAGTGACAACAGAGTTTGCCACAGGCAGCGGAATGTGTTGGCCTGGCCAGTCTGGAACTAAATGGATGCCAAAAGAAACCAACAAATAAATCTTCGTTGTCATCAAGTCAAAATGTTAGCAACCCACCCCCGGTAGTGCTTTCACTGCTGTCTTTTTCAAAGCCAGTTACACTTGCCTGTTTGCGGTTGTAGTCCTTCAGAGCTGTTTCGAACCCTTCTTCAAGACGTCCGAAAGCAATCCGGACATCAGTCACCCACCAGATCTGACTGCTGGTCAAAGCCACCTGGGCCGGATACTCAAACAGCCACTGATCTCGTGGCTTATCCTCATAGGCTGCTACAGCCTCCATGATTTTCTTCTTCACTGTCATGTGCATGGTTTCTTCTAAACGGTTTAACCAGCATTCCACCTGAAGTATGTAGACAGAAGATGGGCACCCAGGTATTACTGACTACAGCTTTGGAATGATGACTGCAACTTTTATTGTACTTCTATGCCTACTCTCATTCAAACTGCACAGTTAATCTGCTCAAGCATATGATTCACTCAAATTCACTGCAAATATATCCGACCCCTAATTAAAAACTGCACACTTTGCTCGATTTACTTTCCTTTTGCTCTGCAATGGAGAGAGCTCTTTAGGACAGACTTCCAAATCTTGCACACCAAGATTCCCTTGGAGACTTTCCACCATTTCCAAAGAAAAAACCTTCATCACTTTAAAGCAAAATCTTATGGCTGAAGATGTACCATAAAATGCAGGTATTTGGACACCAGATCAACATGGGTATATCAGTGTATCATTTCTGTGCCTTAACTTCCACCTCAAGTAAACAATATATTATAATTCCACTACCCCTTCTACTCACTATGTGGAAGAGAGTGGTTTAGAACAACTGAAATGAAACTTTCAATAGTGTGAACATCTACAAATAACAGATTTACAGCACAGTGCTATCCATAGCTACATAGTCTTTACTAGTGTTATCCAACTGATTCGTAACTGAGTGCGGAAGAAAGGAAATGTTACTGTGTTTTATTAAGTTTTATTCGACTTAGTCGTAAGTGAGGCCCAGATCACACGAGGCAACTGTTTCCTACTTATACCCAGTTAGATGGTTGTATAAATTTCCAGTCACATGAGACATAGCCATTATCAAATCATTTACTCAGCCAACGATGTAACAGCCTTTCATGGGTGTGTGTGTGTGTGTAGGTCCATTGTAGGCTCTGTATTCTTTTAAGAGCTGTCCACGCAACATACAAAATGTTACCAAACAGGAATACCTTCCTGACATATTGACACACCAATATTTATTTATTTTTAAATTAAAGGGCTGCAGTGGCCCAAGGGAAAAAATAAATAATTTCCATAGTGTAACCGGCCACAATGTTACAAATAGGAAGAACCGCATTAACATTAAAACTAATTGGGACATTTAACTCCAGTATACAGTGGTATCTCGCTTGATGAGGATAATTTGTTCCATTCAAATCGCTGTTAAGCGAAATCCTCGTCAAGCGAAATTAAAAAACCCATTGAAACCAGTTCAATGCGTTCCAATGGGCGAAATACCTGCTTGTTTTGCGAAGATCCTCCATAGGGTGGACATTTTCTGGTGCCTGTAAAGTGAGGAATCCGTCCTAAAGCGCAGCGGGGAGCCATTTTGCATAGCAGGCGGCCATTTTAGAGCCGCCAATTAGCTGTTTTAAAATAATCGTCTAGCAAAAAATTGGTTCTCGAAGCAGGGAACCAATCATCGTTAAGTGATTTTTTCCCCATAGGAACATCGTTTTGCGATCGCAATAGCGATTGCAAAAACTTCATCGTAAAGTGGTTTCATCGTTTAATGAGGTAATCGTTAAGCGAGGTACCACTGTATACACCACGTGACTTCGATTCAGTAGAACAGAGCTATAGAAAGCATCATTAGAAATAAAGAACTGGTGTGATTGGCGTCTAAGCTGAGATGATTTCCCCCCTCCCTCTCTCTTTCTAGGGAATCAAAGAGTGGAGCTCACCTCTTGCATTTACTCTGAGTAGAGAGACAGTAAAACAAAGGGAGATATGAGCCTGTGGTTTCAGCGTGAGTACCTGACTGTGATCTGTATGTGTCAGAATTTATTTGCATGCATGAGGTGGAGGGTATAGTTTTAAACATAGCTTTTTGCTTTAAGGCAAAGGATTTCCCTCCTCTTTGGCACTTTCCTTGCTTTCTGAAATGTAGAAAGAGACACACATGTTGGGAAAGAACAGCCTCTGCTTCTCTGATATGTTGAGACTACCTCCCTATATTAGGGTGTGCAGCCATGGGGAGGTATCCTCAAAATCATACAATAATGAATGGACTGTTGAAGCATTTGTGATACTTTCAGAGAAAAGCATATCAGGCAAAATCCAAAGAAACAAAACAAGACAAGACAAAAACCTTGTGTCACCTTAAAGACTACAGCCGTGCCCCACTTAACGATTGCCCCGCATTACGACGAATCTGCTTTACGACGATGTTTTTGTGATCGCAATTGTGATCGCAAAACGATGGTCTACATGAGGGAATTTCGCTTAGCGATGATCAGTTCCCTGCTTCGGGAACTGATTTTCGCTTTACGACGATCAAAAACAGCTGATCGTTGGGTTTTCAAAATGGCCACCGGGTGCTTAAAATGGCTCCCCGCTGTGCTTAAGGATGGATTCCTCACAATATAGGCACCGAAACCGCTGCTGTATGGAGGATCTTCGCTGGACAGTGAGTTTTTAGCCCATTGGAACGCATTGAACGGTTTTCAATGCGTTTCAATGGGTTTTAAATTTCGCTTTACGATGTTTTTGCTTAACAGCGATTTTCCTGGAATGGATTATCGTCGTTAAGCAAGGCACCACTGTATTATATTTCCATGTGAGCTTTCATTGACACGCCAACTTTGTCAGACATATGGAAACAAAATGAAATGTTGAATGAAATATCAGTTTCATACTAAATATTCATTGGCCCTTGGATGTATGATACATTTGCATGCAGTAATTTGGTTTATGTTGTTTGGGTTCTGTTGTAAAAATTATTCAGGGGACAAAAAACAGACACCAGGCCCAGAATGAAAAGAGAAGAAGGGTGCATGTTTTGTTTTATTAAGATTGAAGATTTACTTACGGCTGAAGAGGGAGAGAAAAAGAGAATATTAAATATAAAGGTGAAAGAAGATGGCAGAGAAAAGAATGTTTGAAAACAACGTAATAGTGCAAAGATACATACAAAACAAGAACAGTGCATGGAAAATTGAGTACATTAAGAACATTGTGAACTAAAAATACATGTGTTTCCATGTGAGGTTGAAAAACAGAGACTTCCAACCCAGTTAGAAACAAAGTGAAGAAAAATTACAGGTGAGGTTTGGGGAAACTGGAACTGGAAAGATTTTTTGCATTACTAGCTATAATCACAAAAACAGGACTGAGAGGTGGGTTTTTTCTCACTTTTCTGATTGCACTGGGCATACAACTTTTTTGTTTTTCTTTAAGCTGTGATGAGCAGAAGGTGTTAAAGGACTTTTAGAAACATTTAATGACCACTTGATTGTTCAGTATTGCTCTGTTTTGGGAAGATTAGCTGTAGGTGTGTTAACTAGCCTCCCATAACATATTCCCTTCGAACCTGTGCTATCTATGTGCTGTTTCAGGCCACGGCTGTCGGGATATATTAGGGGTTCATTGCATGGATGTCTGGTAGAGGTCTGGAGGGGGTATGAGATGGGTGAGTTTGTTGTTAATGCAGCTGCTTGTTGTCGCCAAAAAAAGATGGACGTCCCAGTTGACTTTTTGCTCCAGCCCCTTTTCAAAGAAGAAGCTGGAAACTGGTTAACAGTTCGTGGATAGACACTCATGCTTCACACTGGCTGGGTTTTTCCCCCCTAATGTGTATTTTATGTTGATGGATTCCCATTTATGTTGTGCCCGCTTGCCCTTATCTTGCCTCCACAGCCAAGTGGCCATTAGAGATCAGGGTTGCGGCATCTCACTCTCAGTTTTTCAGGTGTGGATGAGTTGGGCCATCGTAAGCTGTGATATAGGACACCGCCGGACTTACCTGCCCTTCACAGGAACAGTGCTCCGAGAATAGGACACACTCTCCCTCTTTGCTGTACATCCCCAGGGCTGTTTGTCTTTCTGTGTCTTCGTCCTCCTCGAATTTAAGATCCGCCACGTTGTCAAAGAGTTTCATCAAGTGCTTGGTGATCTGTTGCCAAAGATGACAAAATAGTGACAATGTGCCTTAGTTCACTGCCAGCGAGAGTCGAGCGATGCAGGCCAGCAGCTCGAGACAAGAAGTGTTTACCTGCTTAGGATGAGTTCCTTTGGAGATGATTTCTAACAAATCCACAGCTGAAACAAAGTAGAACCTTGGGAAAGTGACTCTCTTGGCATCTAAATAGTTGGCTAAGGATTTCTCACAAAGAGTGAGCCTGTGAACACAAAGTACCCACAACGGTGAAAGGTGAAACTATGAGAGTACAATAAAAACTCTAGGTGCCTTTCCCCACCCCCCCAAAAAAAACCCCACAAACAAAATAAACTGACTTAAATAAGTGTGATGATGACTATGTGGAAATAGCAGTTCCACAGTATGTGTGTCATAGGTAAAGATGGCAGGTGTTCGTATCTTGGAGAATAATAAATGATTTAAAACAGGCACAAAGACATTTCCATATACCTTGTATTTCTAATGCAGAATTGGAATTGCTACAACAGAAATGAAAACAAATTAATCCAATGGGACGTTGCCAGATGGGACTAGCTTCCTTTCTCCCAGTTAGTCCTGTTCATTGGGAGGGAACGCGGATTTAAAAGCTACTTTTCAATAATGCATTTCTCTCCAGAGTCCTTTCATAATCAAGTGGGAAATCCATTCCCCTCCTAGAGCTTCTCTTCTTGTTTCTGTTATTTTATTTATCCACCAGATTGAAACTACTTGAAAGTAGGTAGCAAGGAGGGTGTAAGAATGGAGATAATCAATTGCATAAGAAGCACAAGGGGCACCCAAACTCCACCTCTGGAGCAAAACTGGCCATGTCTTTAGAAGGGAGAAAGGAAGAAAAAAAGGCAAGATCTGGCCACTGTTGCAAGCCTTAGAAGAAGTAGGGGAAACACCAACAATATCACCCACAAGCCAGGTACATTATGGAAAACACACGGTCATTTCTGTGTTGGTGAAGAGTCTGGTTCTCCTGGTGCCCCTTCTACTGTCAATACAGACAAGCACCTTAAAGTCGTACAATAAGTTAAAACACAATAAACACCACTTTAGAGTTGTCCTTAACTTTTTACTACTTCTCGCCTTGAATATAGGAATGTCTGAGAAGAGGGGAAAGGTTTACAGGACAGTCCACAAGGGCCACAGAAGCTCCCACAGATTCCCTGTGTCAGAAGCACCATCCTTAAATGACCTTACCAAGGAAGGAAGCCCCATTGAACCACAGACTTACTCCACATACCAAATGGCACTGTAAAAAAAGATTCGGCTTCATCCTCCCAGGGAAATATCAACCCTCATGTTTGGTAGACAAGAACTAAAACACAGAAGCAATTAAAGGCACTTTCTGGTAGTATATTAATTACCTAGCTGAACGAGGTCATATTCAGCCACAAGTCTGTTTCATGAACGTTTGGAGTGTACACAACCTGTTATGTGACAACATTTGAAGCAAGTAGGCATTTTTACTTCCTTGTGCCTGTAATTCTGTGGTAGGTGGCTGGGGAACTGCAAGTACAGATGTCGGCTACAAAGAACGACTTCAATTATAATGGCATGCCACCTATTCTGAGCAAGCCCAACCTGTAAGGTATAAACTAGCAGATCATGGTTTATTAATGTGTGTAAAACCAGCTATTCCAAGATGTCAAAGAACTGAACAGAATGATTCCAACTGGGCTGGGTTGGCAACCTAGTACATGGTACAAAAATTACAGTACATGATACAAAAAAAATTACCTACATGGCAGGTAATAAACATGAAACTTGCGTACAGGTTGTAATGTCTGATTGATATCTCATGAGCATACTGGGAAGATGGAGCCATTATGCATCTTATGGATGGAGAAGGTTTAAAAAATTTGGCAAGAACAATGTGGCAGTGTTTGCATAAGTATAAAATTAAGTTCTAGTCAGAGCACTGCTAGAAACTGATGTTGTAGTCCAGACTTGGTGGTAAAGGTAAAGGTTCCCCATTACAATTTTTGTCCAGTCATATTCGACTTTAGGGGGCGGTGCTCATTGTCATGAATTTGATTATGAAAAGTGTAAAAGTAGAATAGAGATGGATTTTGTTTCATAACAGCAACGAAACAACTAGAAGTTGACTGATGTCCAGGTGTTAATTAGGAAGAAAAAATTGTACAAGGTCAGTTCTTTTTCCAGCCGAAGGAAAAAAAAAAGTAAAGAAGAACAAGTTGACCCTTATCTTATCAAAACTCCAACGAACAGGGACACAAAGGCTTAATTTAAGAAAGATGGGCGAAGAGAGACGAGGAGAGCGACGGAGAAGAGATGGAAGGGAGAGAGACGACACACCGAGAGATATGCAGCCGACAGGACTTTATTTTGAGATTGCGTAAGAATGCTTATTTAAGATATAGTTAGACAGTTCATTATTTTCACTTTATAGAGGAAATGACTGGTGGCTAAGGCTGGGGGTTATTTTGGAAATAATTTGGAAATACTGAATGACGTTAAAATGAGCTTGTTGAAATGATATCTTTTGTAATAAAATATAAAAAGACAAATTGTCTGTAAGCTGTCTCCTTGTTTAGACCAAGCTACTGTAGTAAATTGGATATTTTGGAACTATCTGGCCACGTTACGCTACCAAATTAGGGTCCTAAATTAATGAAAGGAAGATTAGATCTTCCAGAGCTCCTAGACATTGTTTATTTAAAATCGGGACAGACTTGGGCGAAAGGGTGAGAAGTCGCCTAGAGCAAAGTTACAGGACCCGATTTTGCTGGAGATAGGGACGGATCATTCCTGGATCCCTCTCTGTCCCGTGTAA